GAAAACATCTCAAATTCTGGTTTATTGAGCTGAGTTGGTTCAGTTTCAATCCTTATATCTTCATATCATAGCCATGGTGCCCATTCATTCGCCTGAGCGAATTCTCGCCCATACGAATGAAGAGAAAGTAAGCAGCAAGAGAAGCCCACTATAAGAGCACTACATAATGAGTATCACATCGGTTTTCTGTTGTAACTTCCGTTGATATGAATGCCATATGAACACGATTGTATGCAAAGCTATAGGATTTTCATTACTTTACTACTCAGCAGTTCTCACATAATCTTCTTCTAAACGAAAATGTCCACCCAGTGCAGTGATCTGCCTGTCATCAGACGTGAAACTGCTCTCATAGCTCAAAGTCGGATACACGACCTCGCAGTGAACCTAAGCTACGTGTTTTAGTTCAAATGTAACGTGTGAAAGAAAATTCCGCTGAAGAGGTACAGGGAAACTTCTTTTGAAACCGCTTATCAGCCTCTGCTGAACTAGATCAGTTTCCAGATCAGCCTCATTGGATTTTTCTCCGTTAACTCCAAAAATAATTTTTGGAATCATCTTGATTTCAGCCACATTGGACGATCTGATGGATGAGGGCATCACTGATGCGAACGGTCATTTCTTACTGAAAGGTCACGAAACCGAGATCACGAGCATTGACCCCAAACTGAACGTCTATCATGACTGCAATGACGAGACTATTGTAAGTGAAGTGCTTGCCTCGTATGTGCACTTGATTAATTATCCCAAATCGAAGACATTCTCATCTGATGTCATACGTTGGTGTCATTGTGAAGCCAATGATATTCACATATGAATATCATTGGCTCGTCCCAGCCTAACAGGGCTTTCGCTTGTTTTAATGGGTTTTTCATTCTTTTTCTTGCTGTTGCAATCGCTCTCATAACTTTTATCACCAAAACTATTCTCTTCTGCCATTTTCTCATTCATTTCGCTGAATAATCAAAGTCATATTCTCATTCTATCAGTTGCACTCTATAACTGATCATTTGACTGCCGAGTGTTGTTGACTAATAACATTCGATTGCTGCATTGTTGATTTCGGCCGTCAACACTCGTCAACTCACCCAGTAAATAGTATATGCTATTGAATGAGAAATTGATTTGAACTGTGAAGTGAAATGAAACGAAGTGAATGAGAAAAAGTCATGAAGAGAACGGTATTCGCATGTGATAGCTATGAGAGCGAATACAACACGTCTGAAAAGAATGAGAATCCATCTGAATCAGTTTGAAGTAAGCGTCTCACAGACAATAGCTTTTCATGCGATCAAAATCGATCTCATTAACAATCAGAATGTTAGGAACAAACGGGAAACAGTTTGCTCCTGACGTTGTAGGTAGGACTAGTAACTTCTTGTGTCAAGGGGTAACAGCAGCCTGCTAGATCGTCAAAAGGAGTAATGGAGCACCCGAACGTGAAGAACCACTGAACTAGACTTAGTTCAAAATTGGTCAAACTGAAATAGACTTATAATAGTTAGCTTGAAATGCACTGGTGAAATGTCATGAAGACCATCAAATCATCTCAGTCGTATTCAACAGTCGCTAAAAGTTTGAATTACAATGCGGTCGAAGAAGCAAACGAGGGTCTTTGATATGCTCTGAAGTCGGAAAGAATTCTGTTCCAAATTCGTATTTGTATTTTCATTAATTTGGGTTTCACTCACAATGAGATACGTTCTAAACGTAAATGTTGATTCAAGAACCTTTGTAACTAGATCGATAATCAGCATTCTTGATAAGGTGACTTCATTTCAGCCGTGCCTGAAGAAGTTCTCGATCAAGATTCCGAAAGACTACGTCTCGGAAGGTGAACAACCCAAGAGAATCTTCAAAGCTGGCGAGTTCAATTTGGAAGGAACGTTCTCGGGTGAATCGCGTGATTGTTTGAACTGAATAATAATTGTGATAGCGCTTTGGTATACTCAGATTTTATAAACACTTACCTCAAATGTTTCCACCGGCATTCGATTGTGAGTGGCCATAAACCAACTGATACAGACAATAACGCGTTTACGATAATACAGCAGCAGGGATAGCAAGGAAATAATAAAATAAAAGCAATGAAACCATTATAATTAGTAGTGATGATTCACAAGTGTATATGACAATAGGAATATCAAGAGCACAATATTAAAACTGCCCGTACCCTTAGGTTAGCCCAGCAACCCTATAATATCTTATTATCATTGCATTCAGCAGATTCTCAGCATTCAGAATATTATATATGTTGTCGACGGATTTTGCTCAGTTAAGGAGAT